CCCTTACATTGTACATATTAGGTGGGAGCAGTCCCCCTCCCTCCTTTCTCTCCCCTTCTCCCCTCCCCCCTCCCCTGACCATCTTTATTTTTAATTGGTGTGTGTTTTCAAGGAGTGAAGCATTAAACTACATTTTAAAAACGGCTGAAATTTTAGCACTGACGAGTACAGTAAATTAATACATGCAGTCTTACCCTGCATAATGATGTTTCAGTGGGTGATGGGCCACTAATACATGCAGTGTTACCCTGCATAATGATGTTTCAGTGGGTGATGGGCCACACATATGATGGTGGTCCCTGAGATGATGATAGAGCTGAGAAGTGCCTCTGACCTAGTGGTGTCTGGGTGGTCATAATGTCCTAGTGCAACTTGTCACCTCCTCTGTGTTTCCTCATGTTTAATTACACACATGCTTGCCACTGTGTTACAGTTGCCTTCAGTATTCCCAACAGTAACATGCAGTGCAGGTGGGTAGCCTCAAAGCAATAGGCTGTACCACGCAGTCTGGACGGGGAGTGGGGCTGACTGCGTCATCAGGTTTGTCTGAGTATGGACTGATGTCCGCACAGTGACAAAATAGCCTAAGGACACATTTCTCAGAATGTATCCATGTTGTTAAGTAACAGTGACTGTAAAACCAAGCTGAACACACACACACTCTTGCTGGGGAATCACCCCCTGCTCTGCCACATTAGCTGTTGGCTATGGTTTAATCTTCATATTTGGATATAGTATTGGACCCACCACATTTTCTTCTAAAACCTCATGTTAGGTAGGCCGTATTATCTCTCTTTGCTAACCGACCAAACCGGAGAGATTCAGTGATTTACCTAAAGTCACAGAGATGATCTGGGGCAAAGACAGGCTTTGAACGCAGGTATTCTAATTTCACAATGGGTGGCCTTTCTACCACACCAAGCAGCCAGTTGAGTAGGGACATCTGTTAGAAATTTTTTAAAAATTATTTTCTAAGTAAAAATAATTTTCTGTGTTCCATTATCAAGTGAACCCATATACTAAAAATATAGAGGTATATTCCAGTAGAATTAAGAAAAACAAGTGTTAGTCCTGTAATAAAGTCAGCTGTAAGAATATAGCATGTCTTTATAATCACATATTTTAAGGAAAATAACCATTTGATTAAAAAAAATCAGTTTCAGATACTAAGTCTTAAGATATGAACATTAATAAGTGCCATAGTCAAAATACATTTAAATAAGACTGTCAAACTAAAACCATACAAAATGACTCTGTTCATGAATTACTTAATTTGGGGATTAAGTGAGGGATACTGGTACTTGAAACTGAGAGAAATTTATCTTGTAAATTTAGGCCACCAAACCTGTTTTGATTTTGTTGAGCTGCCTTATTTCATCTTGAAATGAGGAAACAGACCAGATAAATCTAGGAGGGGACATTTGAGTATAAAAGGCGGAGAAGCAGCATTCCCATAAACGTGGCTCTGGTCAAAGCCCACTGCCTCCCTTCTCCTCTGGGCAGCCACAGTGGCCAGAGATGGGGCTGGGGGCAGGCGCAGGTCTGGTGATGGCCTGAGGCCACCAAGACTGTGTCTGTAATTTCTACTTCTAAATGAGCAGCCCTTTTCTCCCACAATATACTCTTTTGTAATTTGTGAGCCAAAAAAAGAAAAGAAAAAGAAAAGAAGATACATTTTACTTTTAGACGTGGCCCACAGGTTAGGTTTGAAAATAAATGCTGGCCATTCCCTTATCAGATACTGTGTGGCCATATTTTTAAACCTGCTTTCTGCAAAGAGTCTGTTTATAGCACCCAGGCGGCAGGAGACCATCAGGGGTATGGTAGTGGATCACGGCCCGAGGTGCTTATTTTCTTGAGAAAAATTGCTGCCAGATGAGTGGTTTCAAAAAGCTAAGGCTGCTGCCGTGGTCTTTAGTGGGTTACGAGGATAAAAGGGCATGCAGCTTCTCCTTTCCTGTCTAAATATTTGCTGGAGAACTAATGGGTTTTTGTATGCACATGTATTTCCCTTTTCTATTGGGGAAATTGCAAGCAATACAGAAACATCCTGTGATAAAATATATGAAGTAGAGGCTGAGGGAGCAGATGGATGAAGCAGAGGAAATGTGCCCCAGGTCTGTGGAATGTCGCATTATGACTGAATTCTTGGCATCGGGGCTTCGTAAGTCAGCAGATGATTAATAACAGTGTAAACAAGGAATGTGCGTGGCGTAAATAGAAGGTAGACTATTCCATCAGCAGCTTTTAGTGTAAAAAGCATTTCATTCCCATCAAAGAGACACGAGGGCTTTCACAAGCTTCCATTTCATCTTATTTTACATTTGTGCCCACCCTGGAAGATTTCCAGGGAGAGTAAGCCCATGTAATCTCAAATACTCATGCATCTGAATGAGCAGAGCCGCCTTGGCATTGCTTAAAATAATATGATGAATGACTCCCAATTCTGTATCTGCAGATCTGGTTAGATGCCTGCACCAAAGTAGTGAGACTGGGAATAGTTTTCAAGTAAAGAAACATAGGAAAGATCTGTGGTTGTTAATGCTGCTGAAGATAGAGGCGTGTAGACATTTCTGGAATATACTAATCTTTGTTCTCATTATCCTCTTTTAAAAGGAAATTTAAGTAAGGCTTTAAAGTAATAGAATTGTTAACAGTTTTATTTTCTAATCCTCACTTTATGAAATTGCATATTAATAAACATTTTATAACCCCCGAGTTATACTTCAAATTATTTATTTGTCACCTTTCAGTAAACTGAGTTCTCTTTTCCAGAGCTAACTTATAAGGCACCTCTTTTGGAGCTTAAAGAAAGCCCTCCCAGCAGGGCACCAGGAAGACCCTTCCTCCAGCCAAAAGAGCCCCACTGGGCCCCTGCTGGGAGAGAGGGCAATGGAAGGGGTGTGAGAGCACAGAAGGACAGGCTGGCAGTCCTGGCTGCCCCCTCCACTGCCCCCAGAGACCAGGGGAGAGTGCCAATGTGGGCCCATTGCCCTTATCCTGTCCTCCCAGCCCGGGGAAGTGAAGGGACAGCTGGTCCTTCCTGTGCCAGGGAGCCTGGAGGAGGGCTCTCCCTCTGCTGGACCTTCTTCGAGAAAGCTCTTCTTCAGCCTCATTCTGGAAATAGCTTTCTTTGTGGATCTGGGCGATGGAGAGAACTATGGTCATATCTTTTCTTGCTAAAACCTAGTTACCTGGGCATTGGGTGCTGGAGCAGGACCAGTATCAGAGTGTCTCCAGGGGAGTGCCCAGGTTAGAAAGGTTCTTTCCATAGCACAATACCTGCTTCCTCTGAGCCATCAGTTAGCCATGCCCTTTGGTTGACCAGATTCCTCTCCCCTCATCTGGTGGGGGATGGGAAAATAAAATTTTAATTGAATATAACATATACAGAAAAGCACACATAGATCATACATGGACATCTCAATGAATTTTCACAAACAGAGCACATGTGTCACAAGTCCCTAGATCAAGCATATCGTTTTATAATGACATTTCTTCCCTGATTATAAAAGCACTTTTAGGAATTTTAGAAAATACCGCCAAGTATTTAAAAAAACAAAACAAAACACCACCACTCATGGTACCTATTACACGCGGAAATGACCACTGGTAATATTCTGGAGTCTTCCCAGTTGTTTCTCCCCCTTGCCTCTGTACACACTCACACAGGAACACAACTTCTGAAACTTTAGGCGTGTGTTCACAAACACACTGAAATTTAAGATAGTAGAAATAAATGACGCACAGATTTTTAGATGTTTCACCGTGTAGTCCTCGGCGTCATCACCAGAATGGCAGAGAATGAAAGTCAGGGAAGTGGAAACCATCTGTCTCTTCACTTGGTAGCGGAAAAAAGAGCTTTGTGGAGGAGGAGGTTGACATAGATGACTGACATATAAATATGCATGATTCATAGATTTCGTTTATCCAGTATTTTTGTGTCTTCCAGAAAACTAAGCATTGGTAATAGGCAGTTGGGAGACATCTGGCTAAAGATGTCACGCAGAGCAGAGGGGAAACTCAGACCTTTTTTGGCTACTGTGTGGAACTAAATCCCTTCTGGGCTCCAGTTTCACGTTGCCAGAAGACCAACCTTACCCTTTTTTTTTTTCTTAATTAGCTCTCTTGCAGATACCCACTCAGACTTTAACTGTAGCAAGTGGGTCTTTTGTTTGTTTGTTTAACAAAAGGAAGCTGAGTGAAAACACTGGAAATTGGCCTGGTCTTTTTGAACTGGAGGAAAATTATCTTCCCCATCACTACTGAAATGCAGGCCAGGATACCTTCACGGCTGCGGCTGCTTTGGCCCCAGCTGAGTTTTCTGCAGGCATCGTCAGGAAAGACTGTCAGCAGCAGCTCCTTGCTGCTGTGGGTTGGGCAGGATGTGTTGTCTGTCTGCCTCCTGGCAGGTGGAGGACTCAGCTTCTGTCGGTAGCTTGATGACATTTCTTGTGTTGGGGAAGTTGTCACCCTCAGGACTGCCTATGACTTTTTTAAAATTAAAATATATTTTTGATTTTTTTTTTCTTCGAGACTGAGTCTCACTCTGTTGCCTTGGGTAGAGTGCCATGGCATCATCATAGCTCACAGCAGTCTCAAACTCTTGGGCTTAAGAGATCCTCTTTTCTCAGCTTCCTAAGTAGCTGGGACCTAGGTGCCTGCCACAGTGCCCAGCTAATTTTTCTATTTTTAGTAGAGACAGGGTCTCCCTCTGACTCAGCCTGGTCTCAAACTCCTGGGCTTAAACCATCTACCCATCTCAGCCTCCCAGAGTGCTAGGATTACAGGTGTGAGCCACTGTGCCCAGCCCATGTTTTGATTTCTCACATGTTTCTCGTTTGAGTTGTTACCATACAGAAAATGCATTGGACTTTTGTATTTGTAAAATGTTTTCTCAGATCACTCACTCCATTTTCCTTTCTTGTTAAAAACGTGTTCCCAGACAGTATGAAGTGGCCTTTCTGTTTACGTGTGTTCTTGTTGTATTGTCTTTGCAGTCGAAATCAGCTGTCCGCCCTGCCCGCCTGCCTGTGTGGTCTGCCTCTCAAAGTCTTAATCGCAAGTAACAACAAACTTGGATCATTGCCAGAAGAGATAGGTCAGCTCAAACAGTTAATGGAGTTGGTATGTTACTAATTTTTAAGATGCTTTTTTTCATTGGTTGACTGATCACAGCCTGGGACAGTATTCAGAAAGACTTTTGCTACGGTTGGAAAAGGAGGAGCTAGTTTGTTTGAGGACAGTGTATGACAAGGACATTAAGTGGGGAGAGGAACAGCCTTGGCTTTGCTTAGACAGATACAGTTTCTGAAATTTACAGGCTTCCTGTAGTTTACAGCTCCTGAAGTATACAGATTATCATACTGTAGTTAGATACAGTTTGTATAGTTCATATAAATTTATGAAGAACTGTGGCTACCCTGGCAAGGTAATCTACAAATAAGTTAGTAGGCCACACTTAATGAAGGCATATAATTAAATCAGAAAGAACAAAGTGCTCTGATTCTATAAGTATTTTAGAAACCATTGTCCCGAATCGATGTAAGTTTAAAATGTGACCATGTCTCCCGGGACAGAAAAGAAGAACAAGTTCTGGATGGGCAGAGATGGGTTATAAATTCGGGCCTGAGGCTGAGATGTGCTGTTCTATTTTAGGCTTTCACTACTAGGTTAATTACTTACCTTGTTTCTAAATTGGGAAAGAATGAATCCTGTCTAGGTTTCCAGTGAGCTAACATGGGCAGTGAAGAGGCAGGAGTGAGCAGTGGGAGTGCACGCGGGCAAAGACATAATAATCACAGTGTTCTCTCCACGCAAGTACTTACTTCACACTGACCTTGTGCCAAGCACAGGGCTCCATGGGATTAAAATGAAGAAAAAGACACAGTCCCTGTCTTCCTGTAGATTCCAGCCTAGAACCTTGGTGATCAGTGAGTTTTGTCTTGTGTGGCTTCTGCTTTGAGGCCACCTGCTTCTGCGCTGGTGTCACAGGAGTGCCGTGACCACGTAGTCACGTCTGCAGTGGGAACTGGCTAGGCGGGTGACAGCACCCGCATCACATGTGTGTCAACTTTGACTTTTTTATGGAAATGAAAACTTTCTGGAGAAGGGCATTAGACCTATAAAGTATCTTTTTTCAGACCTTATTTGATAGCACTGTAAGAAACCCAACAAGCTCATATCAAAAGTCGGGGTTGGTTAGAAAGATGCAGGGTCTGCCCGATCACTCCGTGTCAGGACATTTGGTCAGAACATGAGCAGCTAGAACAAGACTCGAGCTCTTTGTCAAGGACTGTGGGAGCGGTTCATTCTCCTCTCTGCCTTCTCTGTTTTTCCATCCGATGGCAGAGGTCGCCCAAGTTTAAATGTTCCCCCAGGGAAAGCACCTAACAGAGACCACCAGCCTCTCTCAGCCTTACATTCTGAGTGAGAGGCAAGATCTGGGTCCTCGCCTGACTGATCAGCTGCACCCAAGGCACACAGTCATGTTGCCCAGACTGTCAGGGCGCCGCTAAAGGGGGCAATTCTGAAAGAAAACATTTTAATGTGGGCAGGCATTCCCTAACACAATTCTACCAAAGTTTTATTACAAGAAGTAGGTACACGAGGTCGGGGATGACTGATGCTGGGAAAGGTTTATAAGACGAGAACTTTAAGGCCCCTTAAATAAGCCATGTGAGATTTCCTAGAAGGAGAAAAGAAGACAGGGGTGAAGGACACGTTCAAGGAAAAGGGGGAGTCTCTGCAAAGGAAAAACAGTCTGAAGTCCCTGTGGGCTTGGGGAGCAGGAAGCTGTGTAATCCCGCGGAGTCTCGGGAGGACGGGGCTGCGTGCACCATCCTTGTGTGCACTGACTTCATTCAGGCCACCGGCAGCTCCTTCACAAGGTGGTCTAGTTTTTCTGAGGTTGGCCCTACTCTCTTCTCCAGGTTCTTCTCCCTCCACTGGCCCCTTCACCCTCGAAGCTTTGGCCTTCTGAGAATGCGCCCTGCCCACGTTCCCTGCCAACTTGTGCATACATCACTCTCCCTCCGCCTGCACGGGCTCTCTCTTCTGCCTCCCTCCTTTCTTGGTCCATTCTTAAGTTAGATCTCCCTTCCTCCAAAAAGCCTCCCTGGATTCTCCAATCCTGAGTGAGGTGCTCCCTGAGCAGACACCCTATATTTATTGCTGAATTTTTATAGAGTCACGGATGTGTTCCTACTTGGCTTGCTCTGTGCCAGCAACCCTATACCCAGAAAGCTGCCTGAGCACAAGAACATGTTCCTTGCTGTTGCATCCCGGCTGTCTGACACCTGACAGGCACCGTAGATGTCGCTGCCTGCTGTTGGTGAATGGTGACAAGCGTGCCTGGAAAGGTGGGGAAGATTATGAAGACTCCTAGGTACTGTGTCTTGGACGGGTTAGGGGGGAGGTAAGGAGACTTGGTCTTATAGTGCAGGTGATTCAGAAGAAGCCATTAACTGGTTTCAGGAAAAAAATGCACAAAATAATGCTATTGATGAAATTGATAGTGGTATGCTGCTGCTTTTAGGAGAATGATAAACCGTGGTTGCTAAAAGTTGGGTTACACCTTGCAGCTACAGTATGAATAACAAGGTTTTTTAAAGTAAACTTTATGCTTCACAGCGAAATTGAGAAGAATGTACAAAGCCACCTCATGTGCCCCCAGGCCTCCCCCAGTACAAGCACCCTTGCCACCATGGTATAGTTGTCACGGCTGATGAACCTCATTGACACATCATTGTCACCCAGGGTTCGTAGTTCATGGCTGGGTTCTCTCTTGGTGTTGTACATTCTGTGGGCTTGGATAAATCTACCACTGCAATATTGCACAGTGTTTTCTAAAAATGCCTGTGCTCTGCCTCTTCAGCCCTGACCCCACTCCCTGGTAACCATTGATTGTTTTACTGACTCTGTAGTTTTGCCTTTTCCTGAATGCTGTGTAGTTGGGATTATACAGCTTCTCTCACTGACTAATAGGCATTTAAGTTTCCTCCATGCCCTATGGCTTGATAGCTCTTTTTGCTTCAGTGCTAAATGGCATTCCTTTGTCTGGATATATCACCATTTATACATCCTTGCATACACTAAAAGACGTCTTGATGGTTTGCACATTTTTGGCAATTGCAAATAACATTGACAAGTTGGTTTTTTGTTTCCCTCCTTCTTGGGTTCCTGTGCAGAGAGGGATAACATTTTGCTAAGGTCAGTCTTCTGGAACTTTTTGGCAGCTGATTTGTGTTTCTGTCCCATGAACCCTGGGCTTAAGTGACACCACATGCCATCCATCCATCAGCTGTGATCTTGAGCTGCGGCCCAGCTCATCTGTTAGCAGGAGGCATGTGTGCTGAGCCGGGAGCCAGTCCCATACCAGCACAGGGCTTTCCCCAAATACCCTTCATCAGCTATGTGGACAGTGCTGTCTCCAGCTCTGGGACACTGAGCTGCGGGATGGCTCTCAGGAAGCAGCCAGCTTTTCTTAGGCATTCTGTCCTGGATGCAGCTCTAGTGAAGACCGCCCTACACCCAAGTTACAGCGCTGTCATGCTGGGTATGGCACCTGGTCCTTGGGTCTTTTCTCCACTAGCAGTAACCACTGAACCCTCAAGTCCTAGATATTTGAGCTATTATAGGGGATTATAAAAGGCATCAAATACAAGCTCTTGATATCTTATAAATGAAGAAACCGAAGACAGAGAGATAGTGAGCGATGTATGGAAGGTCATGTAGCTAAGTTGTAACCTGAGCTGAAACACCCTCACTTAGCACTGTCCAGGGGAAGTAGAACATAAGCATCAAACATGATTTTAAACGTACTGGTTGGTAGCCACATCTACACAAATAAAATGAAGCAAGTAAAATTACACACACGCACATTTAGAGACAGTGACTCATCCTTTCACTCAAGTTGGAGTGCAAAGGCATGATCATAGCTCAGTGAGGCCTTGAATGCCTGTGTTCCAGAGATCTGCCAGCCTTAGCCTCCCACGTAGCTGTGACTATAGGCGCATACCACCCTACCTGGCTAAATTTTATGGTAGAGATAAAGCCTTATTATGTTGCCCAGACTGGTCTTGAACTCCACTTCTCCAGCCTTGGCCTTCCAAAGTGCTGAGATTATAGGCCCGAGTCAAAATATCATTACATCAACATGTATACAATGTAAAAAATACAAATGAGAGAGTTTAAATTTTTTATACTAAATCTTAAGAATCCAGTGTGTATTTTATTTACTCTGACAGCACCTTGCAGATTGGATGTGCGGGTGGGTTGCTGCAATGGGCAGGTTGCTGGTGCTGAATGGCCACATGTGGCTAGTGACCACTCTGCCAGACACTGTGGCCGTGTGTGTGTGAGCAAGCATGATCTTTGTAAAAAGCATTTGTTTGTGAAGTTGCTGCAGGTTTAATAAATTGTCATTGTTTAACCACAGGGAGTGACTGGCCTTGGCTTAAGGTCACAGACTAAAAAAGATTACTTTCCATCCATTCTTATCTTTTATATCTTTCTGCTTAAAATAGTAGTGTTACTATCGATGACGATACCAGATTATATTTAGCTATCAACTGGAGAAAGAAAGAATTCCCTGGAGAGCCTGAAGCAGTTCTATAATCGGGGTAAGAGGCCTGTATTTTGTAGTCTCATCGTGGCAGACTCCACAGGCATTCAGAAGACCTGAAGGCCGGAGCGCTCTGTGCTGATAAAACTGCTCAGCTGATGAGGCTCTAAGCAGTGTTTGTTAACTATTTTGAAAAAAAAAAAAAATAATTTTTTACATCAGACGCAGGGTGTCTTAAAATGAGTTGTAACACTTATCTTCCAGGGGTAAATGAACATTCCAGATTCAGCTTTCACTTACAAAAACACATAACCTTAGCCATCTGCACAAAAGCAATTATCCTTTCTCATTTTTTTTTTTTCTTGCGTTTTTGGCCAGGGCCGGGTTCGAACCCAACATCTCTGGTATATGGGGCCAGCGCCCTACTCCTTGAGCCACAGGTGCCACCCTATCCTTTCTCATTTTTGGAAGGAATTTGAGTTGGGAAACAATATCTTACTTTAAAAAAATCTGTCACAGTTAACTAAGAATCTTCAAATAAAAAGCATTTCCATTCTGTCCT